CTTTGAGGTATGAACCGGCCTTGCCAGCAAGGTTTTCGTCCCTCTTGGGTTGTCTGATTTGTGCCAGACCTGTCTAGGGTATAAAAGCGTTGGCATTTGCATCGGCTGACCACTTCGAATGCTTGAAGAAGTCCGACGCTCATGCACACTACTCCGCGACACCGAAGTCGGGTGCTGGCGACGTGGGAACTGCCCAATCTCAAGCGCTTTTCCCACTTCTGCTTCCAATTCACAATTCATTCACTTTCCCCCTTGGGCGTGCTTGTATGACGGGGGATAACTAACTTTTTGTGAATTCGAATGGTGGAAGGTGGTGTCTGCTCACAGTTGGGAGAGGGGGGCTGTAATTCCCGAACGTTTTCCTCAGCGATAGGACGTGCCTTGATTGTAAGTAAAGAAATGGGTCGTCGTGCACCCAGATACTGACTAAATTGTAGTCGTTGATCTTTACTAGTTAGTAGAAGTGGACATGGGAGTGGTGGGTCTACAAACTACAACTACGGTGTGGGCGCTGTCACCGCCCCTCCCACTCTCTTCCGTCGCCGTGCTATTATTCGATTCGCGTGATGTCTTTCTTACACTGATCGCTCATATAAAAGAGTTTTTCCGACTGCATTCTGCAATACCACACATTATCACATTTCTTCGCAGATACCTGCATCGAACACCTCACCTTCACATTCGTCGTTGAACCCAACAGCTGAGAGCATCATGAGAATCCGCAGCAGGGGTGAGTTCCCTGAGCCCTTTCCTGGTCCCTGCCCTCCTATAAAGTCTGTGATTTCAGCTCGGATCTCGAGTCTAACTATAGGCATTACTTCGAAAAAAACTGCAAGTTCCGAATGCATTGTGAAGACGAAATACGGACTTATCCAGGGCAGACGGTATGTTACCAAAAAAGGCTGTGAAGCCGACTGCTTCCTTGGAGTGCCCTATGCGAAACCGCCAGTCGGACAGCTGCGTTTTCAAGTGAGTCATTTTCAGATTAAAGTTGTTCTAGCGTAAGCTTCTAAGCTGATGCATTCGCTCTTCGCTCTCCCATTCCACTTCTCTCTCCCACAAAAACCGTCTGGTTCGTAATTTCCCCGTCCACTTCGGGAGAACAACGTTTTTCATGTTGGTCCTTTAAGTGGTCATCTGCTCTTCCATCATCAAATAGCTGCAACGAACAAATGAAAAGTCTGCGGGCTTATGCCGTGAAATTTTCGCAACAAAAAAGCGTAGGTCACCCGTTTCGGACTGGCTAAGGAGAACTTGAAAGACGGTTCTACAATTTTGCTAATGGAACGAAATCAAACCAAACGTTTCGCCGAATTTCAGCACTTCACTGGTCACAGCTGTGTTTATTGAACGACTACTACGTAAAAGGCTGTAAGCTGACCTTGAGGCTGTCGAGAATAGGCACTGAACCTGTTTAGAAGTCTATTGTAGTCATGACCACGGGAAAATACTCCAACTCCCTGAAACGTTGCCACTCTTTTATGGGGAAGTGCAGGGTAGGGTAGAGGATGGTTGAGTACTCCTCAACTAGAAGGCTTTGTTTGATCAGGGGGAAGGGAGATGAACCGTCTGTCCTACTCAGAGGAACACCCCTTTCAGTAGGCGAGTTTTCTGGGACTTTGGGAATGCACAAGCAGACGACGGTGGATCCTAGGGTTGAAAGGGAGTAGTAAAGCCTTCAAGGGAGAGGAACCAGTCTTCCTGTAACGAATTCGTCGCCGTAACACGCCGTAGGGGAGCCGATATCGCGATTACCCTTATATAATGCGGTCTCGCTGCCCGCGAAAGTGTATATGCGGGTTTGCGATGGGGTACAGAACACGCCTTCGTTAAAGAATACTCAAAGGGGCCGTTTTCAAATCCTATGAGATATGAGCCTCGTAGTTTGTTGAAGGGGTCGCCCACTCTCTCGCCCATCGGTTTACAGTATAGGTGGCATGCCAGTCAGGACGCTGAGGTTTCCAAAGAGGTTTGTAGGCCCCAATTAGATTTCGGAAGGATACTCAAGAAACGGAGGTGGGGAAACATCACATTAATGCTTCCCGCATGACTATTTGGCGAACGACGACTCTCACCGGGTTGAGGCGGGCGATCAAGGGCTGAATCGGTAACAAAGCTATCGCGGGGGGCGTAGTGAAATGGGATTAAATAGGCATAGATCATCGTTTGAGCCAACCTCGAACCCCTGATTCGGGGTTTCCGGTTATTTCCCGGTCTCTGGGTGGTTTCCCATCCGATATGACGAGCCAAAACGAAACGAATATTTTCAGAAACCACAACGTATGGAACCATGGGAAGGAGTGAAAAATTGCCGTCAGTTCGGGAATCGTCCCGTACAGAACGATATGTTCTGGGACAAATTCACCATTTTTACTCCGCAAAGTGAAGACTGTCTCTACCTGAACATCTTCGCTCCTGCAATTAATCCCGCAAAGGTTTGTTTGGAAACGGTTGATGGCGGGGCAAAAAGTCCACAGAAGTATTCAAGAAAATTAGTGATGTGTCCATTTCAGAGCTATCCCGTGCTATTCTACATCCATGGAGGCGGTTTTATGATGGATTCCGCTGTGCGATATAAGCCCGAGAATATGGCTCGGTACGTTTCTTTTCGAGTTGGTATCCCAGAGCCGTAGTTTGCGAAAGCCGAGAGGGTGGGCGGAGTCTCACAGCCATTGCCCTACCCACCCCTCCAATGGTTATTATGATGTTTATTAGGCATAGCCATTTCGCCCTTGATCTCCTTTTATTTATGTGTACTAAAAAACATTGGCAAAATGCATAGATAAGGATATTTTGCAGATTGATCGTGAGCCAAGAAGTAATTATCGTCACAATCCAATATCGACTCGGATATCTGGGCTACTTTTGCACAGGTGACGGTGTAGCCAAAGGCAATTATGGGTTCTGGGATCAGCTTGAGGTGAGAGCTCCCCATATCTTCATCTCTTTGAGCAACTGAAGAAAATACTTCAGGCCCTCAAATGGGTGAAAGAAAATATCCATAATTTTGGCGGCGATCCAAATCGGATTACGGTAGGCGGTCAGAGTGCTGGAGCTGTATCGGCGGATCTGCTCTCGATTTCACCTCTTTCTCGTGGTAAGACTTATTCTGGTTACGTCACGTCCTGCAAATCCTCAAAATTTTCTCTTTCGGTACGACCTTCATCTCCCGATCTTCCTTGATCTTTCCTGAAAGGACCTCTACT